CATAATCAGAGGACAAAAACTAGCATAAAGTAAGTGGGCCATTTTCCACTACGGTACTTGAGTGTTTAAAGCGTAAAACCCGAGACAGTGAACTATGAAACCCCATGGCCACTTCACTTTTCTGATCGGATCTCGTTGTCACAGGTACTAGGAAATGGCATTCCCATTGTTTGAAAACGTCTTTCTTTATTTTCTTTGTATTGTTAGCTTTAAATATTCTTCTGAACCCATGCTTGCCATCTCCAGGCAGTGAAGCTGGTTCAATTTAACCACTGTCGTCAAGTTAATTTTGTATAAGATGAATCAGGTTATTAAATTTAGGAAGCCATCGCCTTCATTATTCTGCACCAACTTTGGCACTGCTCGGAGTTGGCTGAGCACAGCTACACTTAGCTGATTAAGCTGGCCATCGGCTGCGTTCGGGAGGAAGGCATGTATTCTCGTGGGCCTTTGTCAGTACTTAGGCAGTAGGTAGCAGTATTAAAGTTTTTTTTATATAAAAATCTACGCTCTAGATATATGGCTTACTACAAAAGTGTTACTGTCCTTTCTGTTAAACCATCATCTTTTGAAATCTCTGTGCTTTGGTTTTGCTCCGATGGCAATCGTAAAGGGTAAGAAAATGAAGTTGTCATTGGTTGCTTTGACAAGTAGACTGGCCACGTGTAATGCTTTGCTTAGATGGAGGGAGAAGGAACACCCAGAGAATAACTTCACATGACGCAGAGACAGATGGCTTGGCCATGCTTACTGTGTGGAATCATCACGGGAGAGAGGGCACAAGTCTGTGTCTGCAGCCTGTTGCTGCCTTGGTGTCAGATGTGCAGTTTTTGGTAATAAGAAGTTGTTTGCCATAGGTCATTTTGTCAAGGGAGATAGCCTGACTTAACAGGCTTGCTTGGGAAAATAAAATTTGATAGAAAAAGGGTACCCTTTCTCCCTGAAGATTTCTAAGTAGTATCATTCAGAACCTTAGGATATTATTATTTACTCTTTTTTTTTTTTTTGGTGGACTGGGGTTTGAACTCAAGGCCTACACCTTGAGCTACTCCACCAGCCTTTTTGTTGTGAAGAGTTTTTTCGAGATAGGGTCTCTCTAACTGTTTTCCCAGACTGGCTTTGAACCTCAATCCTCCTGATCTGTGCCTCCTCAGTACCTAGAACAGGCGTGAGTCACCAGTGCTTGGCTCTTTACTCATTGTTAAAGGAAGTTGTTTGAAACAACTTGTATTATTTTCATATAATTCAGAATCATGGCCTGTTAGCAGTCTTGCAGGAGCCATTCATTCCTTCTGGAAACATTTAGTGAATCCTACTCAGGTGGTAGGCCTACGCAATCCAGACCCAAGAGGCACAGAGCCCAAGTTGTTTACTGCTAACTTGGAGAGTCAGATAAACACTGTCCCAGAGGCTGCCTGGCCTTGTGTTGTACTGATGTTGTCTGGGTCTGTAAAAAATATGGTTGCTGCTAGGGTTGTGGTGGCCCAGGCCTGTAATCCCAACAGTTGAGATGCTGACACAGGAGGGTCAGGAGTTCAAGGCCAGCCTGGGCTACATACTAAGACTCTGTCCCAAAAATGTGTGTATGAGTGTATGTGTGTGACTAGAATTGTGCCCCCATCTTTTCCACTCTCCTATATCATTTTTTTTCTCTGAACACCCTCTGATGAAAATGTAATTATAAATATTTTTGACCATCCCTTTGACTTGGAAATTTCAAAGGGTCACAGAGTCTGTCCTTTTTTCCTGGGATTGCAGTGACCGAGTTGTTGGGTTGTTGGTCATTGGCATCGCCTCCTTACAGGTGCCAGCACTTCATCAGCCTGATTGAGGTAGCACAGCACTCACTGAGACTTCACCCCAGCCTACTTCCAGCCAGTGCTGGGGCCTCTGCATTACTGTACCTGGGGTTTTACTTCTCTTTCTTTTCTCTGGTGATCCAGATACCTCATGCTCACTGGAGGTAGAGGTGAAATTGGAATGAGTCACTGGTAAAAAAATGAGTAAATTTCAGATTGTCTTCTGGCCTTATGGCTCAGAGACCTTGAAATGCCTTTTGCTACACACATGAAAGAGGGTCCATTGAATGTTCGTATTTCAGATCTGAAGACTTTGGACATTGTCATGCACCTGGTTCAGGTGTCAGAGGTCATCTTGGTAATGGTAGTGAATGCTTTACAGTACAGAATTTGGCAAAACCTCCATAACAAATGACCTTGCCTTAACGATGAAGTGCAAGGGTGCTTCAGAGTCATTCTTTAGGCAAATGGACTTGTGCATGGAACCTGCAGGTGACTTCCTTGAGTTCTGATTGAGAGGCCAGCCATTCTGCCTGTGTGTTGCTGTTGGGACCAGATCTGGAGGGGATTTTAGCTTTGTAGTCATGGTGACTGCTGTATTTAGTAGGTCATGAGAAGAGGCGTAGGACTTTACGCCAAGAATTTGGAAAAGAACAAAAAATTATCAGTTGTACTCTGCCTACTGTGGTAACATTAGGTTCTTATGATATAGTTACAACTTCATTTTGCAGGAAAGATAGTTGAGTTTGAGATAGGTGAATGTTGTAACTGTGAACTGTCAAAGCTGGCATCAGCACATGTGTGCCAAGCTCCTGACGTGCAGAGTGCTTTTTTGCCTGAGAATTGGTTTCTGTAGACTGGTCTCCATGAAGATTATCTCTGAGGAGGCTCTTTCACACGGGGATCTCAGAAAGATACTCTGATTTTCATCAGAGTAACATTGTGAAGACCATCATTTATGGTCATTTGGCATGGACTTGCCAATGAGCATATATGAAATACTGAAATACACGGTAGCTTCTCTAGTAGAACTGATTATATAGCTTTGCCCTGTTCTCTGTACGGTCTTCACCATAGCTTTCAAACTGTGGTATTTTAGAGTTCAGAGCAGTGGCTGGCTGTTCAAGCTGTGGAATTAGATGGCCTGTTTCCCTCCCCATCCTCTTCCCCCTTCTCCCCATCCCTATCAGTGTTCTTTTTGGAGATGAGTTTTGAAATATGGCTTCAATTCTTTTCCTTCCCCTCCTCCTTCCTCCTCTTCCCTCTCTGCTTCTCCCCTCCCCTCCCCTTTGTACTAGCTTTGACCTTACGGTCTTGGCACTTGCTATGAAGGCATCCAGCTTCCACAGGTCTCTTATATTCCTTACAGTATTAAATCGGTTTTTTCTTTCTATGCTTCATTTTGGATATTTTCTTTTGCTCTATTTTCTAGTCCCCTGACTGTTCACTTTACTGTGTCTTATCTTTTGTTAACCCTGTACCTTGATTTCTCAGTTATGCTTATTGTATTTAGGTTTCATAAGATCTATTTGATGTTTTGTTTATTGTTTCTAGTTCCTGGTAAAGTTCTCCATCTTGTGTTTTCATTCCTTGAATATGTTAATCATAATGGCTTTTAAGTACTGTTTCTGATAACTTCGTCATGGAGAATCCTGTGCATTTGTTTCTATGTTTTCCTCCTCTGGCTTTTGGTGAAACCTTGTCTTTTTTTATTCCTAACTATATATATGGATATATATATATGGATATATATATATATATATGGAGATATGTGTGTATATATACACACATATATATATGTGTATATATATATATATATATATATATATATATATATATATATATATATACACACACACACACATACACATTTTTTTGTTTGTTTGTTTTTGTGGTACTGGGGTTTGAACTCAGGGCCTTCACCTTGAGCCACTCCACCAGCCCTTGTTTTGTGAAAGATCTTTTTTTTTTTTTTTGAGATAGGGTCTCACAATTTCTTTAAACTGTGATGTTCCTGATCTCTGCCTCCTCAGTAGCTAGAATTACAGGCGTGAGCTACTGGCACCTAACTACTATATTTATTTTCATGCTGGAGTTTTTATATGAGAATTTGAAATACTTGCAATGATAATTTGAGACTATGGATGATGGCGTAGTCCTCTCGAGACTATCTTTTCTTTGTCAGTTAGATAGGGATAGGCCACTTTAATCCAGTCAGAAATTTAAGTGGCTTGAGCCTGAGCTTTCAGTTGGGCTGGACTGTTTCTGTTTTTACTATGAGGCAATAGCAATCCTTTAGGATCCCAGCCAAAAGTGTGGTGTTTTACCCAGGCCTTCTTTGGTGGGCCCTGAGGACATATCTGTGTCTTTCTGTCTGTGTAAGACAGCCACACATAGTCCATCTTCTCAGGCTCTCAACCACTATTTTTTGAAACTGGAATAGGACTTGAGGGGAAAAAACAAAATAAAACAGAAACAGAAACAGCTCTGTAAAGTGCTTGCTTTTCAACCTCTCTGACTCTTGGCACCCAAATCAGTCCTAGTGTCTTTCTGTGTGCTTTCAAAAAGGTAGGCATGTGTGGGCATATGTGTGTGTATGCATGTGTGTGTGCACACACACCTTCACATTCCTGCATGATGTGTTCTCCAGCTTTTCTGATTGGTGGGAGGGTGGAGGAAACCTATGATATCATAGTGAGAAGCAGAAGTGCTGCAATAAGTTACTGTAGAGCAGTGTCACTACCTTTATTTTTTTTTCTCTCTCTCTCTTCTTCATAGTGTTGCCTTTAGCACAGGCTCTAGTTATCACTGGTGGCTAAGGAGGTTAAATGGCCATGCTAATAGTGTATCTGTGACTTGGTCTTCATCTTGGAAATAGCTGTGTCCCTAGGACACGTTTTGTCAGCCTCACTCTGAGGATATGCTGGTCAGATGATTATTTTTTTTTGGCGGGGGGTGCTAACCTGTGCCTTGTAAGATGCTGTGTCATATCAGTGGTCTTTATTTTAGATACTAGTAGTATTCCACCTCATGGTTTTGTCCACCAAAAATGTCTTCAGACATTGTATCCATGGTAACCCACTGTAACCATGTCTGGTTGAAAGCCTCTAGGACAGTACAAGTGGTGCTCACAAAAGCCATTTAGGTGACTCAATGTGTTGATGTAGTGATTTCTAATGTCGACTTTCCTTCAAACCATAGGGTTTGAAACTGCCAAGTCTTTTGCACTCCATGGTGCCCACGTGATCCTGGCCTGTAGGAATATGACAAGAGCCAGTGAAGCGGTGTCACGCATCTTAGGAGAATGGGTAAGCACTTGAGTATTTTGTTTTTTTTAATTGCCAAACACACACACCGTGCTGAACACATGGAGGCTTTAGTGCAGTACATAAAGTTTATTGCTCTTGGAGTAATGTCTTTATTTTTAAAGTCATCTTCACATTGTTTACTTTAATGAATGACTGGATGAACAAGCCTGTTATTATCCACGTCTTTGTTTATAGTTCACTGTCAGTGTCATCTGCTTTATTAGTCAGAGGTTTGAGAATGTTTACTCATTTAGCTCACTTATTGAGAAAAATACAGCATGGTTAAGGCCCATGAATGCAATAGGAGGTTATTATGCTTCTGTGGTCTTTAAGATTGGAAAGGAGTAGGTGTCAACCCTGCCTTTTTTTTTTTTTTTTTCCTTCTTTTTCTCTACAGATCTTAGTGTTGATGTGTCTGTGCCTAAACAGCTATTGCGAACTGGTAATGCTTTTGGAACTAAGGATATGGCACCAAACAAAACAAATCCCTGCCCTCCTAGGTTTAGCTTCTAGGTAGAAGATACAGGCATGAAGGGATAATCAAGCTGAATGTTTGCTATAATATCCTGCTGTTCTAAGTATGCTAAAGGATGATGAAGTAGAGTAAGGGACAGGTAGTGACAGCCTGAGCTGTTTCATAGGGGGTGGTCAGCAGATACCCCTCTAAAATTGTGGCATTTATTTTGAGATCTGAGTGAAATGAAGAGATAAGCCATGCAAATACCACAGGAAATGGTTTCTTGGCTGTAAGAACAGCATGTGCAAAGGCACAGAGGCAGGGCCAGGCCTGCAGACTCCAAGGCCCATTGGGGAGACTAGTGCAGTTGTAGCAGAATGAAAGGGGAAGAGATGGGAGAGGAGAGTGAGTGGTATCTTACGGGGTCTCAGAGACAGTGGGGAAGAGTCTGAGCCAGATAGTGACATGAGCTGATGGATTTTGTAAAGTGATCACTGGGCTCCAGTGTGACGTATAGACCACGTTCCTTCATTCACTTGTCATTTGGTCACATGTTTTGAAGTGCACTACTGTGATAGACGTGGGATCTATTGTTAAGGACAAACAGGCGTTACCACTGTATCTGTAGAGCTTGTAGCCTATGGTGGGAAGATAGATTTAGCCACAGAATAGTAGATGTTAATGTCAATGTGAAGTGCTCGTAAGTGGCACTCTGACACTGATCATGCCAGGGAGCTGGGAGATGTTAAAAGTCAGGTGCCTGTCAGAGCCAGGCACTGGTCACCTCTGTAATCCTAGCTATTCAGGAGGCAGAGGTCAGGAGGGATTGCAGTTTGAAGCCAGCCTGGGCAAATAGTTCTTGAGACCCTATGTTGAAAATACCCATCACAAAAAGGGCTGATGGAGTGGCTCAAGGTGAAGGCCCTGAGTTCAAGCTCCAGTACTGCAAAAAAAAGAAGAAAAAAAAAATCCCTGAGGAAGAAAAGAACGATTAAGCTGAGATTTTAGGAAAGACCAGGGAGAGGATGGAGAAGGGTCAAATGGGGTAGGAGAGTGGGGTGTGCTGGAATTGTGGGATTGTGGGTGGAGGAGCAGGAGAGTCCAGAATAGCTGGGGAAGATCTTCCAGCATGATCCAGGGGGGATGGATCCAGCATGGCTGGACTCAGTGCTTGAAGGGGGCTGGAGAATCTTTGCCAACACTGTCTTCATTTCTGAGCACTGTGAAAGAGTTCTTGCCATTTGAAGAAACACACTGTGATTTGCTTGAGAAAATTGCTGGTGTTCTGGACTTCAAAGTTATGAAAGTAATGAAAAGGAAGATTTGTTTGTTTCTGTTTTAATCAGTGTGTTTTCTGTGAAATATTTAAAAATCAACTCTTGTCTTGAGCTTACTGGATTCTTTGTCTTAGGCCCAACATTTTTTTTTTCTTAGTGTGTTTCTGACTCTAAAGATAAAAGTGTCAACCTCTATCAGTGGAGTAATAGTAATCTTTAGAGATGTGTAAAGAGAACAGTGGGTCATACGTATGTGTGATTTGAATCTCCCTGCAGAATAGAAGGTATGAAACAAAAACTGAAAGTCCTGGTTCTCCTCCTCTCTGGAAGGCCAACATAATTAGCTGTTCCTTATATGTTCTTCAGAAAAAGATTGTGCATCAGCCAACACCCCACATGCTACTCTGTTCTGTACTTGACTTTTTCTACTTACAGTGCAAGAGATCTTATCAATGCACATAAATTGACTTCTGTGGTAGTCAGGCTTTGTAAATCGCTGTGACAAAATTCCTGATATAAGCAACTTCAGGGGAGGGAGGATTTATTTTGGGTCAGAGTTTCAGTGGTTTCAGTCCATGGCTAGTTGGCTTCATTGCTTTTGGGCTCAGAGGTAGGGGGAACATCATGGCAGAAAGGAGAGTCAGAGGAAAGATCTGCTCACCTTATGGCAGCCAGGAACCAGAGAGAGAGAGAGAAATATAGAGGGAAAAGGGGAGGTAACAAAGTAAATCTTTTCAGGGCTCCCAGTGGCCTTCTTTCTTCCACCAGGCATACCTTCTAATTTCTGCCAACTCCCAATAATGCCATCAAATTAGGAAGTTAAAGCCCTTTTGATTCAATCACTTCCAAAAGCCCTACCTGTGGACACTGCTGCATTGGTAACCAAGTCTTCAACACATGAGCCTTTTGGGGGATGCTTCATAACCAAACCTTGGCCATTTTAACTGCTGCATAATATTACATCATGTGAGTATGCTTTAAGTTAACCAGGCTTCCTTTTGGACATGTAACTTGTTTGCATTGTTTTGCTATTTCAAACAATGGTATTTGCATCAGATTTTCTTGCAGTTTCATTTTACATTGGGTCTAAAACTATGCAACAGTGAACATTCTTGTTTTTTTTTTTTTTTGGCAACACTAGGGGGTTAAACTCAGGGCCTCATGCTTGCTGAGCAGTGCTCTATCACTTGGGCTATGCCCCCAGCCCTAATTCTTGACATATACATTTGTGAGCACATCTATAGGAGTGAGTCTCACTAGTGGACTCCTTTGTCACTGAGTTAATATGCAGTTAATTTTGGTAGTGAGTTCCCAGTATGTTGCTCAGTTTCCATTCCTACTGACAGTGAGAGGAGCACCTGTGGTCTTGCAGCTGTGTTAGTAAAATTCTGTTGGCCTTTGTGGTACTGTTGTGACTGATGATAATGTGTTCAGGGATATTTTACGAAGGTATTAATGTTGAGACCAGTGCTGAACGATCACTCTAAAACATAATTGTTCTTCATTTTTAAATTTGTCCTCCCTTTAAAACATTTTTTTTAGGTAGTACTGGGGTTTGAACTCAGACCCTTGCTCATGCTAGCCTCTCTACCACTTGAGTTAAGCCCCAAGTCCTTTTGGTTTGAGTTACTTTTTTGTGGATAGGGTCTTGCTTTTTGCCCAGGCTGGTCTGGACAAACAGGAGTGACCCTCCTGTTTCATCTTCCTGTGTAGCTGAGATGACAGGTCATGCACACAACACCTTTTTTTTTTTTCCGGCCAAAGCTGGCCTTAAACCTCAGTCCTCCTGATCTCTAACTCCCAGCTGCACCAGGCTTAAATTTTCCCTTTTGAAGAACAGATTGATTTGCATTTATTCCATTACAGCTATTGTTTGATGCACAGAGGCAGAAATTTCTGGATTTACTCTAATGAAATGGAGGACCTTGGGCAAGTCTCTTCATGTATCTGGTGCCTCAGTTTTCTTATCGTTAATGAAGAAGGTTGAATGAGATAATCTCAAAGACCCACCATTTAGCTCTCTTTCTAGAATTTTCAGCCATAATTGGGTCCTTGATAGAATTTATCACTGTGTAGTTTAAGTATACTGTACAGTACCTTGAGGCAAACTAGCAATTCCAGAGAAATAATGATCCCTAAACATTTGCTGTCAGGCACATGTGAGAGGGAGACAGGAATGAAAACAAAACACGTACTCCCATGCTGTCTCAAACATCTAAATTACATTTGGTTGGTTTTAGACTGTAGAAACTCAGCCCAGTGCACTGTTTTCTGTGTAAACCATTGTATATTGCCTTCCTTGTGTCCCCTAAATGGTGATTATGGAAGCTCAGATTTAGCGCCCATGGCCGCTGTCACTACATCATATCATTGCAAGTTCAGTATGGTGTAGAGAGTGTGTGATATCCCCAGACCCTGGGCTCAGCAGCCCAGGTGACTCGCGTTGTGCCTGGTCCCCAGGCCATCCCCACTTCCTCACCCATGATATTTGTTTGTCTGTTCCTTCATGTTCTTCCTTATCTCATGTCTCTGCCCTGGGATTTTATCTGGCATATCGTTCATGTGTTTCTCAAGGTCAATGTGATCCATTCTGGTTTTTCAAGCTTTGTGCCAGCTCAAGTATGTTTATACTTCATCTGGGATGGCTTGTGGCAGCATTGGGCCAGGAGGGGAATGCAGCATATTTGGCACCTTGTGGGAGGTTCTCAAAGGCATCCAGGGATTTTTGTTTTAGCAAGAGCTCATTTAGAACTCTTTGGGCCTTTTGGCTTCACATTGGCTCTTGTGTGCCAAGGCTTGTGGGCATTCCCAGATCCTGTTCTGTGGATAGAAATCATTTCTCTGTGCCCAGCTTGTTCCTCCCTGCCTAGTGTTTCTCTTCCAGCTTCTTCTGTACATCTCAGGATTGCCATGTTCCAGAACATTCATATCTGTATCTGAGGCAGTACAATGCTTTTCTCACACTGTAATGGGGCAACTGGCAGCCCCCTTATTCATGGGATCCCTGTTACGTGCTGTACCCTGGGCAAAGCCCTTTGTGTTATTTATTTAGGAAGATGCAAAAGGCTAGCCCTCCCTAGTTAATAGAAGAGCCAAGGGACAGTTCTGAGGGAGAAGGAGCTCACACACAGCCATACATAGTCAGAGAGCACAGAGTCAGGCTCCTCACTCACTCCATCTGGCTTTAAACCCAGTCTGTCTCCCCTTTAGCCTGGCTTTTCTACCATAGTCAGCATTGTTAACCGTTCACCATCTTTGAGGTTTTGCTCTCAGAATTCAGAGGTGCTACTTGAGTGCTTCTCAGAGGAAGCAGTTCTGACCTCCAGTAGATACCTTTACACAGAAGATGCCCTTTCTAGTCCTTCCCAAACCACTTTTGGGGAGCTCCAGCTACTAACTTAAAGTGTAGCTTAAATGAGAGCACATTCCATATAGAAGCATGTTAAGAACCTATATAAGGTTACTACTAATAATTATCTTGTGGACAAGTACCTTCTTGCCAAGATGTTTTGGATGCTCCAGCATTAGAAGTAAGAGAGTAAATGAAAACAATTAAGTTGGACCACCCTCTTACAAAGTAAATCACCTTAGCATAATCAAGAAACAGAGAGGAGGTGGAAGCCCATCAGTACAGTCTTACTTAAATAAAGGATCTCTAGTAATGGGGTTTGCACCTGTGTCCGAGGGCAGTCCACAGATATGTGGACAGGGTCCCCCTGGTGCTTGTACTGCATGGTTAGCAGGCCAGTGCCCTTACCTTTAGGCCAAGTTCTTAACCTCTCCTTAGGTTTTCCAGGGACACAGTGACTGGCTGAATAGGAAGTTTATCTTCTGTTTTCAAGGTGTAGTGGGTTCTCTTTCAGCAGCAGTGTCTGTGTGGCAGGATTCCAGGTGAGTTCTCTTAAGTCTGGGCCATGGATAGCTACATCTGGGTCCTGCAGTGCTGTGATTTGTTCTTTTCCTCACTATTGCTGTATTTATGGAGGTCTGGACTATCCCACCTGTTCTGAAATCTGAGGACAACCAAGGGATATTGCATTTGAACAATAATAGCTGATAGGTATCACAGTATACTTTGTAAATGCCCACAGCAAGACTGTAGCGTCTCACTGTAGAGCTCTTGAAAGGCCAAATGGTGCTCTCCCATCCTTCCTCCTTTCACTGTATTACACTTTTCAAATTTTAGTTTCTAAATTGTGGATCCCTACAACTTGTGATTGAAAATGTCTGGTCCTGTAGAGGAAGGAGGCTGTATAGAGCTGGGGCAGATGGGCTGAGATCACCTACCACCTACCAGTTGCTTACAGGATGAAAAGAGGTGGGGCTGTGGGTGGCAGTGGCTGGGGCTGGGGTGAGATCAACAGAAGGAAGGGAGTCTTACAAGTGGCCAGCCTGCTTCACTGCCTGCACTGTTTATCATGTGAAGAGTGAAGCAGGACATGCAAAAGAGCTTATATCGGGGACTGACCATTAATGACAGGTAGGGCTGGTGAATCTAGCATCCTCTAGGCCTTGGGGCAGCAATGGGTTGAATTGGTGAGGTAGAAGAGGGTTGGCATGGGCAAGAAGGGCTGGTGCTCTCTCTTGGAGCTGTGATTTGACCACCTCTCACTCCACAGACTGTGACTGCCCTATTGCCTAGGAGGATTTGGTTCCTGGGAAAGACTTCCTAACTTTGTCTCTGAACTTGGCCTAGACTTTAAGTCTTCTAGAGACTGGTTAGGATGATGACGTGCTATCAGATAAGAAAGTGCAACAGGGGTTCAGCTCAGCTATTCTCTGTCTCTTATTTTTGTTTTTGTCATGACCATTTAAGCAAAATTCCTGAGAGGCCCCAAAGAGACAGGGTGTGTGGTCTTCAAGGCATCTCCCACCTCAGTCCAGACACTTAGTCTATCCTGTGTCCTAGATCTGGTCTGATACTGAACTTATGAAGAACCAAAGTATATAGAACAGACCTTCCCCACCACTACTCTCCACCCTACATCCCCATTGCAACAACCAAAAATGTCTTCTAGACATAATCAGGTGTTTCCTGGGAGTGCAAACCATTATGAGGTGATTACCACTGTTATAAAATATGCTGTATTGTGTTAAAGGTTAGAAGCAGAGACACCCTGTGATTCTGGGTAAGTTTTTCAACTTCTATAAACTTTGGTCTCTTTATCTATGAAGTGAAAATCATAATGTCTCTGTCAGGAGATCTAGGTGGTTTGAATTGTATTGACCGTGCATGTGTAAAGTATTAGCATGTTGTGGGGAAATATTAAGTGCTCAATTAAATTTTAGCTGCTGCTATTAAGATCAGTAATGAGAATAATTCTTATTAATACATGAAGTGCAAAGGAATGCTTACTTTTCTTAACCTCACCAAGTGGTTGAAAGTGGAGCTGTAGGGAGGATGTTTATGAGCGTGACTCAGATGGAGGTGCAATGAATCCCTTTTCAGTCTGCATATGTCTGGACTCCTACATTGTAATAGATGTGCATTTAGTTTGTGGATTAGTATTTTCCAGTGTACCTCATATTAGCACTCCACTGTCATTTGAAAAGCTATCTCAATTATTGATGTGATTGCTTTTTCTTTTGTATTTACAAAGAACTACACTTTGCATATATTTAGGAAAGATGATTAAAGGATTAGTCACCAGGAACAGCGAGCAATGGTTTATATCAAAATGGTTATTGAGAAAGCAGGGAGATGAGGGGTACAAATGAAAGATTTATTAGTGAGAGGTAATGGAATGTGCATATTTTAGGGAGAGAGTGATGCCCAGTTAATCGTAGGTGTGCTGTACGATGCTGCAGTGTTTTAATTACTCTAGTTTTCACTGGCGTTGGTACTAAATCTGTTTATCTCCTCAGGGGGAAGGCAGGTGGAAAGCACCAACAGCATTG